ATCCGTTTTGAAATTGATGCTATACACGTGTCTCTGACTACAGGCAACAAGAAAATTAATTATTACTACTGGTATATAAAATATATTTTATATAGTAATTTTTTTCTTGATGATCAATGGGTGACTATTATTATTAATTGTTATGACAATTTGATAGCTTAAGGTGTATGTATGTATTCTAGTCTTATTGAGGGTCCATTTGCCCTTTCAGGCACTGAGAGTACGGACCCTGGACATGTCACCATTCATGTCCTAAAATGTTACTACTATCAACCAAAAGTTGACCTATTAATTTTAAATTCAGTAATTCATTGAATGATACTAAATATGTATGCAAGTCGATTTTTGTGATGATACCATTTTGATGCACGGGAGGCCAATGATACCATTATATGAATCATGGAGAAAAATAAATGAGCTTGACTGATCGATAAGATTATGCAACTCGGACTGATACCCGACACATTTTCTGTATGCACGACCGACATGCACGAACATTATTTCCAGGTTTTAACAAGCGAATTTTGAATGGAATTGGCAAACATTGGTTTCTTTTTCAATTTTCTCAGCTTAAGAATTTTTCTAGAATTTTGAACTTATCTAGAATTCAGCTCAAGGTCTTCAGCTAACCCGTTTATATACTATGACATGATGTGAACAGATAAGATGCTGCATCAGATGAAAAACAAAAATGTAAAGTAGCGGCTTATAAAGTTTTGGAAGCCAGAACTAACATTTTGATTATTATTGGCATGGCAAATGTGCGAGACCATAATTTCCATTTATTCTTTAATCTTTTGTCTTGTGGAAAATGAAACCCTCCAAACCCATTACAAAGTGGAACACAACAGTAATTCACCATTTTTTAGACTGTAGTGTTAATCAGTTTACTTTGAAATATAAACTTTAGCTTATTAATTAGATCAGTTGATTACATACTCTGCATCCTCCCATTGAATTTCAATGTAAACCAGCTGTACACAGAGATAGCCAGCATACAGTAGTATACCTCTTATTTGTCAGGGGCGCTGCAGAGATAACTCTGCTGGATTATCTAGAAACTCTCCCATTGGAAAATATCTGGATATCTTATCATCTCTGGTGATTTTTTTATCTGAAATTTGACCCCTATGTGTGACCTTGACCTTAGCCACAGGGACCTAAATTTTGCGCACAAAACTCCGCCTCACAATAGTGTGCCAAGTTGTACTGAAATCCCTCTATGCATGTAGAAGTTTTGCTCCGGACAAGCTTTTTCAATGACCTCTAAGTGTGACCTTGCTGTTTGACATAGAAAAGGGACACAGCTTCTCATAGTGGTGAACATTTGTTCGAAGTTTCATTACAATCTCTCCGTATGTTTAGGAGATAATTTATGCTCTGGACAAAATCTTTATATTTTATGATGTTTAATGACCTTCACAATCATCTTTAGTGACCTTGACCTTGCATATACATTGTATTAACTTAAATTTGAATGTTTCACACAAGTAGTCATGAAAATGACCATTTGTGTTTCAATCCTTCAATAAATGATGACAAATGGTCAATATACACATTTTCATATTTTTATCTGAACTTTGACCCCTATGTGAGACCTTGGCCACAGGGACATAATTTTGAGTGTGACACTTCGCCTCACAATAGTGAAAATCATTCTGTGCCAAGTTATATTGAAATCCCTCTATGCATGATGTAGAAGTTTTGCTTCAGACAACTCTTTTTTTCATGACCTTTAAGTGTGACCTTGACCAAGAGACCTGGTTCATGCTTGTGACACGACTTCTCATAGTGGTGAACATTTGTTTGAAGTTTCATAAAATTCCTCCACTGGTGAAGGAGATAATGCTCCGGACAAATATTAGACATTGTCCGCCCAGCCGCCCGCTAGGGGGGAAACTATAATACGACCTGTTTTTGAAACAGGCGTATAAAAAAAGTATTGTGCGTAAAGCTGGGATTCAAAGGCGCCACCACCAGCTTACAAAGACAGGAACAATGTTCTAGGCCACTAAACAAAAAGCATCCATGCCCCTGATGCAGTGGTCAGAGGTGGAACAAAAACTTATGCAGAAAGCTCTGCACTCAACTATAACAATACATAAAGCCTAACATCAGCTGGGCATGCCTATATGCTCTCTCTTTTCCTTAGTATGTTCATGTTGTTGAGATGTAAAGGGTATCAGCAGAAGATTTTTTGAAGAACTTGTTTTACAATTCACTGATGCAGAACCTTCAACTATTATTGGGTACCTTGCAAACCAGCTTCTAATGTTTTGACAGGCCGTTCAAAGCAGGCAGTGGCGACAAAGAAAGGTGCTAAGCTAAGGTGCTGAGCCCCTTGTAAACAGTGATGGCTTTAAAAGCATGTTCTTAAAAATACTTGGCACTTACAGCCCTTTAACAGGGCTGCCTTCATTAAAAAATTATTATAGGTAACTGTAGTTTTTGGTGTTCAATGACTCCTGTAACGCGAGGACAACTCCAATTAAAACAAGCCAGGCAACAGAATGCATGATCAAAGCACACTACTTCAAATTTAACCAAATGCTTTATCAGAATGCTTCAACAAGACCATAAAAAACTTACAATAATGGATTACTTGTAAATGAATATGGACAGTGACTTACGCTTGCTTACCGATTTTACTTGTCAGATCAAAATCAATATCAAATATCAATATCAAAATACATTAATGCTTTCTAAAGATCAAAGAAATTGCTTTGAATTAAGATCAAGGAATGCATATTGTACTCAAGATCACAAAAAAACTACCTTGAAATCAAACAAAATTATTATGCTAACCCAAGGTCAAAGAATGCTTAATGAACTCAAGATCAAAGAATGCTAACTGTACTCAAGTTCAAAGAATGCTTACTGTACTCAAGAATGAAATGCTAACTGTACTCAAGATCATGAAATGCTTACTATACTCAAGATCAAAGAATACTTACTGTACTTAAGTCCCAAAAAATGCTTACTGTACTCAAGATCAAAGATTGCTTACTGTAATCAATATCAAAGAATGCTTACTGTACTTAAGATAAAGAATGCTTACTATACTCAAGATCAAAGAGTGCTTACTGTACTCAAGTTAAAAGAATGCTTACTGTACTCAAGATCACAGAATGCTTACTATACTCAAGATCAAAGAATTTTTACTGTACTCAAGTTCAAAAAAATGCTTACTGTACTCAAGATCACAGAATGCTTACTATACTCAAGATCAAAGAATACTTACTGTACTTAAGTCCCAAAAAATGCTTACTGTACTCAAGATCAAAGATTGCTTACTGTACTCAATATCAAAGATTGCTTACTGTACTCAATATCAAAGAATGCTTACTATACTCAAGATCAAAGAATGCTTACTGTACTCAAGTTAAAAGAATGCTTACTGTACTCAAGATCAAAGAATACTTACTGTACTCAAGATCACAGAATGCTTACTGTACTTAAGATAAAGAATGCTTACTATACTCAAGATCAAAGAGTGCTTACTATACTCAAGATCAAAGATTGCTTACTGTACTCAAGATCAAAGATTGCTTACTGTACTCAATATCAAAGAATGCTTACTATACTCAAGATCAAAGAATGCTTACTGTACTCAAGTTAAAAGAATGCTTACTGTACTCAAGATCAAAGACTGCTTACAATACTCAAGATCACAGAATACTTACTATACTCAAGAACAAAGAATGCTTACTATACTCAAGATCAAAGAATGCTTACTATACTCAAGATCAAAGAAGGCTTACTGTACTCAAGATCACAGAATGCTTACTATACTCAAGAACAAAGAATGCTTACTATACTCAAGATCACAGAATGCTTACTATACTCAAGATCAAATAATGCTTACTGTACTTAAGATCAAAGAATGCTTACTGTACTCAAGATCAAAGAATGCTTACTGTACTCAAGATCACAGAATGCTTACTATATTCAAGATCACAGAATGCATACTATACTCAAAATCAAATAATGCTTACTTTACTCAAGATCAAAGAATGCTTACTGTACTCAAGATCACAGAATGCTTACTATATTCAAGATCAAAGAATACTTACTATACTCAAGATCAAATAATGCTTACATAACTCAAGAACAAAGAATGCTTACTATACTCAAGATCACAGAATGCTTACTATACTCAAGATCAAATAATGCTTACATAACTCAAGATCAAAGAATGCTTACTGTACTCAAGATCAAAGAATGCGTACTGTACTCAAGATCACTGATGCTTACTATACTCAAGATCACAGAATGATTACTATACTCAAAATCAGATAATGCTTACTGTACTCAAGATCAAAGAATGCTTACTGTACTCAAGATCACAGAATGCTTACTATGCTCAAGATCAAAGAATGCTTACTATACTCAAGAACAAAGAATGCTTACTATACTCAAGATCACAGAATGCTTACTATACTCAAGATCACAGAATGCTTACTATACTCAAAATCAGATAATGCTTACTGTACTCAAGATCAAAGAATGCTTACTGTACTCAAGATCACAGAATGCTTACTTTACTCAAGATCAAAGAATACTTACTATACTCAAGATCACAGAATGCTTACTTTACTCAAGATCAAAGAATGCTTACTGTACTCAAGATCACAGAATGCTTACTATACTCAAGATCAAAGAATACTTACTATACTCAAGATCAAAGAATGCTTACTTTACTCAAGATCAAATATTTCTTACTATACTCAAGATCAAAGAAAGCTTAGCACAGGAAAAAGATGCAAACACAATTAAAATAACAGCCAAATTGATTCACAGTCTGTTATATAAAGAATTTACCCTTTTCAAATGATTTAAAATAACAGCAACTTGAATCTCAATACATGTAAATTAGAAGCATAAATCATAAAATAAGATTGTACAGCAAAATCAAAGTTTTCATAACATAAGAAATTTAAAACAACGCAATTCATATAAACAGTAAAAAAAAAGCATCTGAAATCAAACAAACACCATACCGTTATAAAAAATCTTGATGTGTATTTCCCCTGACTATGACAATTTCATTGTAATGATAAACCTAGACACGTATCATTAACAGAAAATTGTTAATACTTAATAGTGTATGACAGACAGTCATTTAAAACGATGAACAGATGTTCTTCTCATGGACAACGTGTTAACTATATATTGAACATGTTTTTAAAAAAAATCTACACGCACTTTGTGCAATCTATATATTCAACATGTACTCTATGGCATAATGAACATCTTGTGTTGAAAACATATTTAACAAAATCATTATTAAGTTTACTAGTGATAAATAAGAAAGATGTAGTTTCATGGACATGATCTATAATCAACTTAAAAAATCAATTAAGACCTAGACATCAGATAAACAAATAAAACAGTAGCCTTTAGACACAATTAAACCAAGCATTTTCTTAAAACATATCAATTTTTACTGCAAGTCACAATATTCCAGACATTAAATACTACATTATAAAATGTCAAAAAGGATGATTTTACACCGAAGGTCAATACTATTTAAATCACTTAATTGTTATGTCAAAAACGCTATACATATTTAAAATGTTTAGTATATGGCTAAAATATGCAGGGAAGTAGCTGTCTGAATGGTATGAAGGCTGCAGGTATTTCCAGGGAACTAATAGTATATAAATGCCCTATATGATAAAACAAGATTGCATTTGAGAAAAATGCTATGCCACCGCATTAATACAACACTAAATAGTAGTGTAGGAACAGATTTTTTTTGTTTCTATACAATTTTGAAGATTGTCATAATGCATAGATCCCTAACCTATCTAATTCTTATTATCAGATTAGTGGTTAAATCTGTTGTTAACTCAATAAAAGATCAGAGTAGGAATATATCAATGCACTCTAGTCTAGTGGATTTGGTGGCGAAGGTCATATTTCACACAGCCTAAATTTCATGACTACATCAAAGGACAACACAGTAAAGACACTTTGTCAAAATCTAGGTCAGCTGAAATCAAAGTTCACTTTAAATCTTAATCTGTGCACATGGTTCAAATTTCAAAGCTGTACATCAAATTACAAGAAAGTAGGTCACATCATCAAAATCTAGGTCACCTGATATCACAGTTCAATTTTACAACTAAAACTGTGCACATGGTCAAAATTTCATTGCTGTACATTAAAGGACAAGAAAGTAGGTCACTGTCCCCTTGGGCAAGGCAAAATTTTGGACCCCAAGGATTTAATTCAAACCAATCTTGATACAGGTCCACCAAACAACATTTCAAGTCAAATATCTAAGCTGTAGCTTTCTCCCATTCAGAAAACATTTGTTTTATTTTCTGTTTTTACTATGTGTACATAATGAGAATCACTGACCCCGGACAGGGCCAATTTTGAAACCAGGGGAAAATTTGAACAACTTTGGAATAGGACCTATAGATGATATTATATAGCAAACATCAAAGCTGTATGCCTTGTACTTTCAGGCAAAAATCTTTTTTATTTTTTTACTATATGTACATAATGAAAATCAATGACCCCCTGGGCGGATTCAATTTTGACCCCTGGCTGAGGGCTATAATTTGAACAATCTTGGTAAAGGTTCACTTCGCAATGTCTCATGCCATATATTTAACCTCTAGCCTTTGTCAATTCAGAGAAGAAGATTTTTCAATTCAGAGAAGAAGATTTTTCAAGTCTTTACTTTATACATATAAGGAAAACTATCGCCTCTGGGGCAGCTGGGCAATTTTAACACTAGGGGCATAATTAAAACAACTTTAGTAGAGGACCCATAGATGATATTATATACCAAACATCAAAGCTCTAAGCCTTGTACCTTCAGACAATAAGATTTTTAAATTTTTTACTATATGTACATACTGAAAATCAATGAACCCTGGGGGTGGGGCCAATTTTGACCCCAGGGCTATAATTTGAACAATCTTGCTAGAGGTTCACTACATAATGTTTCATTCAAAATATCTTAACTCTAGCATTTGTAAATTCAGAGAAGATGATTTTTTAAGTTTATATTACATATAAGGAAAACCTATGGCCCCCAGGGCGGGGCTAATTTTGACACTAGAGGCAAAATTTGAACAACTTTGGTAGAGTACCAATAGATGTTATCATTAAACAAATATTAAAGCTCTAAGCCTTGTACCTTAGACAATTAGATTTTTTACTATATGTATATATTGAAAATCAATGACCCCCGGGGCGGGGGCAATTTTTAACCCCACAGCTATAATTTGAACAATCTTGCTAGAAGTTCACTTCACAATTTTTCATGCAAAATATCAAACCTCTAGCATTTGTCAATTGCTACGAGAATTTTTTTTAAAGTTTTTACTATAAGTTTTTACTATATACATATAAGGAAACCAATGACCCCCGGGACGGGGCCGATTTTGGCCCCAGGGCTATAATTTTATCAATCTTAGTAGAGGTGTTCCAGACAATGCCCTATGCAAAATATCTAAGCTCTAGGCCTTTTGGGTCTTTACAAGAAGGTATTTTAAGTTTTTACAATATTTACATATATAGTGAAAACCAATGACCCCCTGGGGCAGGGCCGATTTTGGCCCCAGGGCTATAATTTGATCAATCTTGGTAGAGGTGTTCCAGACAATGCCTTATGCAAAATATCTAAGCTCTAGGCCTTTTGGGTCTTTACAAGAAGGTATTATATGTACATATATAGTGAAAACCAATGACCCCCGGGGCGGGGCCGATTTTGACCCAAGGGCTATAATTTGAACAATCTTGGTAGAGGTCTACCAGACAATGCCTTATGCAAAATATCTAAGCTCTAGGCCTTTTGGGTCTTTACAAGAAGGTATTTTAAGTTTTTACTATATGTATATATAGTGAAAATCAATGACCCCCAGGGCGGGGCCAATTTTGACCCCAGGGCTATAATTTGAACAATCTTGGTAGAGGTCTACCAGACAATGCCTTATGCAAAATATCTAAGCTCTATGCCTTTTGGGTCTTTACAAGAAGATTTTTTAAATTTATTCTTATAATTCCTTTTGGTTGCCATGGCAACCAGATTTCTGCATGGAAAGAAATTCTTTGAACAACTTTGGAAGCCCTTCACCCAAGGATCAATCCTGCCAAGTTTGGTTGAAATTGGACTGGTGGTTTTTCACAAGAAGATTTTTTAAGTTCACTATATAATCTATATAACACACACACACACAAACAAACACACACACAGGTGAATCGCTATATGCCACCGCATCACAGATGCTGCGGTGGCATAAAAATCATATAACAAAAGTTAGGGCAGAGGGTAGATTTGTGGAAATGAAATGTCATGAGTTAGGGAAGAGGGTAGATTTGTGGAAATGAAATGTCATGAGTTAGGGCAGAGGGTAGATATGTGGAAATGAAATGTCATGAGTTAGGGAAGAGGGTAGATTGTGGAAATGAAATGTCATGAGTTAGGGTAGAGGGTAGATTGTGGAAATGAAATGTCATGAGTTAGGGCAGAGGGTAGATTTGTGGAAATGAAATTTCATGAGTTAAGAAAGAGGGTAGATTTGGAAATGAAATGTTATGAGTTAGGGAAGATTTGTGGAAATGAAATGTCATGAGGCAGGGGAAGAGGGTAGATATTTGGAAAAGAAATGTCATGAGTTATGGATGAGGGTAGATTTGTGGAAATGAAATGTCATGAGTTAGGGAAGATGGTAGATTTGGAAATGAAATGTCACGAGTTAAGAAAGACGGTAGATTTGTGGAAATGAAATGTCATGAGTTAGGAAAGAGGGTAGATTTGTGGAAATGAAATGTCATGAGTTAGGGAAGAGGGTAGACTTGTGGAAATGAAATGTTTCTGTCTAATTGAAAACATACCATAAAGCAATACAAATGATTTCTTTCCCCAAATTCAAGGCAATTTCTCAAAAGGCACCTGAAAATAATTATTTCCACAATCAACAAGCAAACTCAGAGCAGCTTGGGAAAAACATTCGCAACAACCACCTCCTCAGAATTTGACATACACTCCATTTAATCTTGACACAGACAGTTTCTATAAATAGAAAAAAAATCATAAAAAAATCATGCAGTCGAATGTTTGCTGTATTATAATAAATTTAGCATCCTATGATAACACAAGCTTTTTCCATTCATTAGTGTAAGCTGATTAACTAATTTGCCATATTTAATTCTTTAACACAGGCACCAAAATAGTTGCTTGGTTCTTGTATTGAATTACTACTTGACAACTGTGAGAGAGCTTATATTATAAGTTCTAGGGTTATATGTTTCCACAGTGCTTGATTCTAGTTGTTCCATGTTACCTAAACTTGACAACAGAATGCTCTGTTCTACTTGCTATATTCTATTACAGCTTTGGTTGATTATAACACAAAAAGGAGGTTGTCACGTATTGGATTTTGAATTTCTGTACTTTTCAACTGTAAATAATTAATATCATTATCAGAAATGTTAAGTACACCAATAATTAAATTATTTGTATTTTTATATCAAAATTGTCAATAATTCAAAAGTGTTACCAAGTTGTACCTTGTTATGTCACAAAACTATTCAATCAATTCATTTCAACAAGGTTGATGAATGTTATAACAAGTCACCACAACTTGAGGCAAGTTTGGGGGATGTTAGCACCATTACCTAAAACAAATAGACTCAATCAAACGGAGCAGTGGCAGCAATTGTTTTAATTTTGCTGCATTGCTCGTGACCAATCAGTTGACTATTATATCCAATAATATTAGTTAATGACAAATTAGTCAATTAGACTATATCAAACAGTCATTAATTATAATAATGAATAGTTGCTTCGCTCCCCAACTTTCCCCCACTTACCTGAGTCTATGACTTTAATATCAAATAGTGAAGAATTTGTTAATGAATCATGACCATCATATTTTGCGACCAGCAAGGATCCAGACCAGCCTGCGCATCTGCAAGTAGAGAAACTGATAGCGAACAGCATGGATCCTGATCAGATTGCGCGGATGCGCAGGCTGGTCTGGATCCATGCTGGTCGCAAACCCATTATGTTGGTTTTGTCGTAACGCGGCTCTTATTTATGCTTATATAATGAGATTTTCCTATTAAAGATCATTGGGACTGCATTGATAACAATAGGCAATTATTACAATAACTGTTGATACACATCCCATGTC